CCGGGCCCCGGGGGGAGGCAGCCCCTGAGCCCCACGCTGTGCTCCCCTCTCCCAGCTCGGCGGCTGCTGGAGCGCGGGCTGGGCCATGCTCCACGGCCTCTGCTCTCCCGTGCCGTCCCTCCGGGGCTAATTGAATCATGTGGCTGGAAATTGAATCCAATTGAATAGATTAAATGAGCCGGGCTTGCCGCTCGCTGCAGTGCAGCTCAGAGTCTTGCCAGGCTGCTGCCAGAGGCTGGGAGATCCTGGGAGTCCCATGGGGACACGAAGGGGCTGGGGAGGCTGCAGGGAGATGGACACCCACTGGGCTGGGCTGGTTCTCCAGCTCTGCTTTGACAGATGAACCCTCAGCCCTTTCTCGGTGACGTGCAGCCTGGCCAGGTCCCAGGGCCCACAGGTCGCTCTGCTACGGGCATGCACAGGTTGGGTTTTGCTCGTTTCCTCTCTGAAGCAATTAGTGACTTATTAGCTGGAGCCCCTCTGCTCCAGGGTTCAACCAGGGTGCTCCCAGTGGCGTACGGGGGTGAGGATGCTCTAATGACCCGCGGCTGCAGCAGCCGTGGCTGTGCCCTGCTCAGCAGCTCCAAGCCAGTTGCTCTCCCAGCCCACGGCAAGTGATGCTCCAGCAGCACCAGTCTGCATCACCCCGGCCCACGTGCCCTGCTTTCGGCCCCTCTGCTGTGGCCATTGCCAGGGCAGTGGGGTGGGGTGGGCAACAGAGAGCAGCGTGCTGAGACCACAGTCGCAGCATGGACATCCCTTCCCGCAGAGGTGAGCTCAGGCACGGGGCCCTGCCCTGGCAGAGCAGGAGGACACGTGTCCGCAGCATGGACTCGCTCATGATGGAGATGCATGCCCATTTTCATAGCAGACCTGAGCTGCTGAAAGGGCCCCTGGTGTTGGCATCCAGCGTGGTGTAAGTGAAGGTTGGAAATAGTATCTGGTTCCTCTTTAAATAAAAGCTGAACCCACAGGCACTGAGCACACAAACACGAGATGCTCTATGACGCTGGGAGGGCTCGTGAGACTCGGCGTACCTCCTG